CACACACACACACACACACACACACACACACACACACACACACACACACACACACACACACTGTCACACAACTGTGAACTTACAGTACATCACTTCTCTATATATGAATACAGTGAGTTCCACTTTACTTAAATGTTGTACATTCTGTACCGAAAGTTTTAGACATGAGGACAACTCCATCTTTTCACTTTGTTTTTTTTTTATTTTTGAAGTCTTTGTGTCTCTGTACTCAGTGTTACAGTATTGTTTGAAACTAAAAAAGAACGATTGAATGTGGTAATGATAAGATGATCATTTTATTGTGAAGATTTGTTATACACTGCTTTTATTTTGCATACTTTTATTTCCCAAGACACTCAGGCCTAATCAGTCAGGTTTCAGACTGATTCAGAAATCAGTTCAGCTTGTTTTTCTCTCAGTGATTTACCCTCAGTTTGCCACAGTCACTAAAGGTCCTTTCACACTAGACAATTTCTGCCAACTTACGAACATTTTAAAGATGTCTGTGTTGAAGATGGAATTGAAAAAATCAACAGGAAGATTATTTTTGGTGAGTACATCAGTGTTGTATAAAGTACCACAAAGTGATACTTGAGCAAAAGTACAAGTATCTTACCAAAAAAATGACTTTGGTAAAAGTTAAAGTCTCTTTTAGGAATATTACTTGAGTAAAAGTCTTAAAGGAGTCCAATCATGGGTCCTAGAAATGTTTATGGTATGTCTGTGGGCTATCCAGACCATGTTCATTCAATTTAATGCACAAAATAATTCTCAGATTATAAAATTTCCCATTTTCTAGTTCTGCTGCTCTGACTTCTGTTCAGAAGAGCTGTTTATGTTAATGAGCTCTGTTGGTAACGCCCTCCAAAAAAYTGTTGACATTAACTCCGCCCTCCAAAGCCAGCATTTACGTTAGCATGGCTAATAATAGCAGAAGCTCTGTTGTACAACCATATGAGACCCAGAGAGCAGAGTCGTGGTGGCATCTTCTTTTTTTTCTCCTCCTCCTCTGCTCTGCTCACTCTGCATGCTGTTACCAGAGCAGGGAGCAGCAGCAGTCAAAATACCTCAGAAACTCGAACAAATAGGTTTTAACAAGGCTTTAATAAGCTAAACAATAGAGGTACATGAGAAAACAGGTTCATAACGAACGAAAATAAATAAATAATTAGATAGTGTCCATGCCGCTCTCTGGTCCAACACTCTACCCATTGCCCTATTGGAGGCTTGTTATGAAGCAAGCTGCACATTACACAACAACACGGTGACGGCTTTTTATACTGAGGAGGTGGAGCTTCACCCGGGGGTTGCTAGGTAAGGGGCTGAACGCAGGTTCTGGTGGGTTGTCATACGGCTTGTGACATCACAAAATGATGGAAGTATAAAACTTGTCGTTAATATACATTAAAATACATTTACTTACAGTAAATATGCCCCTGGGTGCATTTTTTTGGTCCTAGGACTGTTTTTTAAGAAGTACATACCCAAAGTTGAGTAAAAAAAAACTTTAAAAAGTGAATTTTGCATAATAGGTCCCCTTTAAAGTATCTGATATTTTTGTACTTAAGTATTAAAGGTAAAAGTATTGATTTAAAATGAGCAGTTAGTTTTTCTGTAAGGACATTTATTAGGAGGTGACCTCTCCAAAAAATGATGAAATGACTGTATGGTATTAAAATAATTAATTTATGTTAAATTTAAGATGCACTAGTTTAGCTGTTTCAGTTTATCAAAGCTGCCCAAACCTTTTCTCCAAAATAAAAATCTATCTGAGGGCTGTGGCCAAATACAATAATACAGTATAATCCATGAAGTACAAATACTTCTTAAGTTCATTCCTTTAATGATTATGTCCTGCTGGAGTGTGACACAATACGGTATCAGAATTTTATATATTTATACTTCTCATTCAATCACAATTAAATTCACTCTATCTAGGAGACACAATTTATATGGACAGTATTTATTTTTTACAATAATAAGCTGGAATGAAAACAAGCAAAAATGAAATAAAACTAACGACTTTCTACTTTTTGCCTTTTTAAAAAATGTAAGGAGTAGAAAGTACAGATAATTGTGTGAAAATGTAAGAAGTAGAAGTAAGAAGTAGGCTGAAAAATAATTACTCAAGTAAAGTAGAGATACACAAAAATTCTACATACCGGTAAGTACACAGCTCTGGTGTACATAATGTAATTCAAACAAATCGATCAAACAAATAACTTTTATTAGCAATTTAGACAAAAAGTGTTTCATAAGTTGGCATAAGTTGTCTAGTGTGACAGGGCCTTAAGCAAAAGTAGGTTTATAGATTTTTAAAACTACTTTTTGAACCTAAAAGCCTGAAAGAAAATATTTTTACCTACAGACGCGTTCTCTCAGATCTCAGTTTCACAGATCCACATCTTCTTCTCTTGATCTTAGATCATTTTAGGATTTTTTTTATTACATCTTTAACTGTAATAATCCTTGGTTATGTTTGTTAAGCTTCAACTAAAGACATTATTCAGGAATAAATTGGCAGAATTTTAAGATAAAATATGGAAAATCCTTTAAATAAAGCTGTCTGAATCGGCTTTGCATGTTTTGTAGGACCGTGAGAACCCACTAGACAACGTGCTTCAGTACTCTCTGAGGAGAGCCGGCAGCGTGGAGATGCTGGACCAGAGCGGCGACGAGGACGAGAGGAGAGGCTCTCGTGAGTCACCCTCACCTGCCCTCTTCTCCAGTTCACTGCTTCTCTGTACAAACGTTCTCTCAGGCTGCTTGCATCTTATCCTCCTTCATCTCCTCCATCCAGCTCACCTAGATTCTAGCTCAGCTCCTGTGGCAGATAATCGCACCGTTAGTCCTTCCTCACCTCCATCGCCGGCCTTGCCCTCCTGCTTTTCATCTTCACCACCTTCTCCTCTCCACTGACCTCCTCTTCCTCCTCTTCCCTCGTTGACGTCTCCTCTTCCCTTCGTTCTGCAGTCCCTCGCTCCGCGTCCAACCTGGAAAACACAGAAAGGAAGCGGGTGAAGACCCGGCTGAAGAAGCTGATCCTGAAGAGACCTCCTCTGCAGGCCCTGCAGGAGAAAGGCCTCATTAAAGGTAAGATTTCCTCATTTACTCAGATGTAGAGGTGGCGACTCGTGGCTCAGTCCTCCTGCAGGAAAAAAAGAGTAAATATATATNTATATATTCACACATTTTTCATTTATTTATTTATTTAAACAAATGTTGCTATTTAAGTGAAATAGATTAAAGTTATGAAGGCAGGCAGGAAATGTCGGCATTTATCCTGCAGTGATGCGACATTCCCTGGTGAATATGTGACGCAATACTTCTCGTTTGTTTAGTAAGTAACTTTTTTATTTTCCCACACTACCAATAAAACATCATTTATTCATCACTTTTTAAGCTGGAGTGGGCACCAATATTTTCATCTTTTGGCAAAGAATACTTTAATAACCATTTAACAAACTATAATTCAAGTAGTGAGTTTAACTTATTTTAAAAACAATGCAGGATTTAATAACGAACACATTTGATGAGTTTTATTGTCAGAGCAGCTACCGATGTAACACACTAACTTCTTTGTTTTTCAAGCTCGGCTTTCTGCTCTGTGAAGCCACTGAAATTATAATTATTTTTAAATTTATCAGTTTAGTATACTATAGTTCTGTCGGTAGGAAAGTAACTGAAGCAAGTGTCAGAGTAGTGGTTTTTCCACCGGCAAAAAATAGCCACAAAAGTGCGGTTGTGGTCTGTTAACATTTTATTTTTAAAATATAACGAGCGTGCAAACTCAGTTCCACGTTTGAATATTTCATTTGTCTACGGATATTTAAACAAATGCAATATTTTTTCACGACATTCTGATTTATTAAACTATGAGCTTTCAGACCAACTGGAAACCAATCATTGTTATTAAAATTATAAATAGTTTTTTTTTTCACTTATTAGTTTATTTTACTTGATTTTTACTCCTCCCTCCACACCTGGTTTTAATTTATTAAATACACCTCGATAAAGGTGTCTGCCTTCAGCTTTCATGGCGGATGATACATATTAAAGATGTGCTTTATTCTCCTTAGAGGCAAGAGTTTATTTTTTAATGAAAAACTAAAGCTGTTCAGATGGACGGTGAGGCATCTGAAAATGTCACTCGAGTTATAAAACACACGTTAAACCAGATGCAGTTGCAGTATTTATTACTACAAAATAAAACACGTGCTGTATCGTTGGGGTACTGATGCCGCACATTTGAGTAACCCTGTAGTCTGCAGAGTGCAGTGGGTGAGTTGCATCATCCAGTGTGAGCTTCAACCGAGTCAAACCTGACGGGCTTCTCTCAGAGCGAACGCACGTCGTGTCAGGAGATGAACTCGAGCTTGTCGCAATTACATCATGAAAGTAACCCCTTCCAAGTTAACAAAACACGCTGGGTTTGTGTCCATCTGCTGTCGTCCCTCAGATCAGGTGTTCGGCTGTCGTCTGGAGATGCTGTGCGAGCGGGAGAGGAGCACCGTCCCTCGCTTCGTCAGGCTCTGCACCGAGGCCGTGGAGAAGAGAGGTACGGCCGCCGAGAAACACGCCTCCCCGCCGAGGCGGTCTCAGCTAAACGTGGACGAGAGAAAATCCCAAAGCTGCCCCGAGCGTCAGCTGACAGCGAGTCTGTCTTACAGATTTCTGACAGAAATCTCAGTGGTTTCGACTGAAAATCTTTGTAATGGCCCAGCGAAGAGCACAAACTACAGCCTGGAATTTAAGGCACTCATATGACAGCTGCCAGCGGGAGAAAGATAAATAAGAAACAATGGATTTGTTTAAAAACGGTGCAGCAATAATAAATACTTGGAATAAAAAGTCACGGCTTGAGGCTTTAAAAAAATTCTTTTATTTTTTTCAATAAATTATTATATGAGGGAAGTAATCTGTTACGATCAAGTCATTTTGATCTAACGTTTTAACAAAGTCCAACGTTTTTAACACAAATTTCTCCACTGTGGGATCAATAAAGTTTTATCTTATCTTATTTTTACAATAATTTAGTGAAATTATCAGTACAACAAAAACGATGCCTAATATTGGGGATTTAAGAAAGTTGTTTTAGCGTAACATTCAGCAATCTTCAAATGTCAGCTTTACAAATAATTTTGAAATCATTGTGGGAGGTAAAAGACAAAAATTACGTTTGCTGGTAAAAGTATGTAGAAGCTTCAGGAAGCAAGGAAGTTCAGAATGTGAAGAGGAAGTTTAAAAATAAAGAAGCAGTCACACGCGCACGCCGTACGTCCCCTTATTTTCAAATAGGTTGTTTTTTTTTAGATTGTTAAAAGTGCTAAAACCGTGTTTTTACGCTTCACGGTTGTCGCACATCTTTGGGGACTTATGCAATCGAACTTCCTTTGCACCATGAATTATTAATTTGCACAGAATGTGGCTGCCTGCCATGTCCAGCTGAACAATCAGCTCGGCTCCGACTGTGTTAAAATCCCAGGATCTGTCCTTCTAAAGCCATAAAATTGTAAAACAGCTAAATCTGGACGTTCTGACAGAGGTTTGGAGGTGCTCCTGTCTAACCGCCTGTGTGTTGCAGGGCTGGATACTGACGGCATCTACAGAGTGTCAGGAAACCTGGCTGTGATTCAGAAGCTCCGCTTTCTGGTGGACCACGGTGAGCATGAAACCAGACACGAAATCAGTCATTTCTGTAAATAAAAACAAAATCAGAAGCAAAAAAAAAAATTTAAAAAGTCAATGAAAGAAAGGCAAATCATTTTTGTTAGAAGCCTGACTTCTTTTTTTTTCCTATTTTGCAGCGTGATTAAATCAGAATTATTTACATTTAGAGCAGTGATTATATATCTCACAGAAATCCCCCCCCCACACACACACACACACACACGTTTGTTTCTTGACCCCGTGGGGACCTTTCATTGACTTCCATTCATGCTTTTTTAGCTTTTATATCCTAACCCTGACCACATACTCTAAAATTAAACTCACAGGTACCTACCTGACCCTAAACCTAACCCCGCAACCATAGCGTGCATTTGGCCTCATGGGGACCTGGCAGTGGTCCTCACAATGCTGCCTTTTTTTTTCTTTTTTTTTTTTTTTGGTAAAAAAAATTCCCCACGTTGTAAGAAAAACCCATCCACTCACACATGTTTACGCAACTATCCATTTGGGGACATTCCATTGACTTCCATTACATTTCTACAGCCTAACCCTGACCACAAACCCTAAGGCTAACCTCACCTGACCCTAAAACTAACCTAAACTCAATTCACTCCTTGGCCCTAAACCCAACCCCCAACCCACCAATGGCATTTAAACCAAATGGGGACTCGACTTTTGTCCCCAAATTCACCAGTTGTCCTCAAATGTAGGCATTTTGTCTTAAAATTGTCCCCAAATATCACCAGAAACACACACACACACACACACACACACCTGCACTGATAAAGCGAACGCAGCAGAAAGCCTCCTGAGTAACTGTTGGTTTTTGCAGAACGAGCGCTGACCACTGACGGGCGTTTCATGTTCCCGGCGGAGTTTGTACAAGGTAGATTCAGAGGAAGACGAAAGCACAAAAAACAAAAAAAACAGCCGCTCTCACTCCTAACTCGGCCTGCTTCTTGTTGTTGTTGTTTATTTTGTCTGTTTGTTTGTTTGTTGCTGCATAATGCGAACAGCTCAATCCAGAAGTCCCCAGAATGCCCACCCAGAGAGCTGAAGAGCGGCGCCGAGCTGCCCGCGCAGACGAAACGCCGAGCAGCGTTTTGTTTTTCGCCTTTTGTTGTTGTTGTGAGACCGTTTGGCTTGATGCGTGTGTCCCTTCAGGCTCTGTGTGCTTCAAGTTTTCTGATGTAATAACGTGCAGCAGGTTGGACGGGGGGTTCTCGCGCGGTCCTTGGGTGCCACCAAGTGGATAAAGCAGAGACTCGGCTGCTCGTGTGGAGCTCTGGTCCTGACAGTCTGACTGACGCTTCTCAGTTTAGGATCGTGCAAATTCCTGCTTCCTCAGTGTTGACACGAGATCAAATTAAATCAAACCATTCTGCCTGACTCTTTGATCCAGAGAAGCGTTAGTCACGCCTGTGTGTCAAAAATCAAGTGTGCTTCATTATTTTAGATGTGTATGCGTCAGTGTGCTTTCTTACATCATTTATTCTCTTATTTCTGCAGCTACAAGCCTTCCTGTCGCGCCTCAGCCCTGATATAAATTCATGATAAACGATGCTGTGACCATCTCTTTTATTTTATTTTAGTTTATTTTTTTATTTTCTCCTAACTTTCATTCACTTCCTCTCCCTGTGATTCCCCCTCCTTCCTCTCTTGTCTCAGAGGAGAAGCTGAATTTGGACGAGAGCGAGTGGGAGGACGTTCATGTCGTCACGGGAGCGTTGAAACTTTTCTTCCGCGAGCTCCCCGAGCCGCTCGTGCCGTACGGGTTCTTCACCGACATCGTGGAGACAGTCAGTGAGTGACTCGTTTCAGACTGTTTTACAACACACGTCCATCCACACACAGTAAAATGCAAATCCAATTCAGCTTTTATTCAGCGCTGAGGGTATAAATGTCAAACGCACCAGTATAATCAGTGTTAATGTAAATAAAATCTTTCATTAGCCACTTTATAATTAATTTAAACCAAAACTTAAAATCTGCTTTATACTTGAGATGATGCACGTTTACACAGTTTTCTGTATCTGTGTGGGATGAACTGGTTAAATCAGCTTAGTAAGGCATAAGAAACTTTATTTTTCTTTATTTTCATTGTTTTAATCTTGGCATTGCGACATTGTGAATACGCACAAAGCCGTCAAAAACAGATCAGAGTTCATTCTGTTACTAGTTTTTTTTATTAATTTCTTTTTGCACTTTGTCAGTTTGTGGTCAAATTGCAAAAGTTACAATATTTTCGTGTTGTGGGCTTCGAACCCTCCTTCAACACATTTAATGTGGCAATGTGGCAAATAAACTTAGCACAAAACGTAGGGAAATATGTGTTTGGTAGATTATTTTTTGTTCTAACAAAGCTTCTTGGTAATAAATCTAAATCTAAAGGTAATAAATCTTATATTGGGCTCCTGATTGGCAGCACCTGGGGAGACCAGCAGCTCCGAACAAGACTCAATAACAGTGGTCTCCAAACTACGGCCCGCGGGCCACCTCCCCATTTGGTCCGGGTCCCAGAACAATACCAGAGAGCATTTAGTTTTTTTTCATATATGTGTATTTGTATTTGATTATAAAGTTGGACTTTTGCAATAAAATGTTCCTTAGTTATGAACTATTTTCATTATTAACTATTATTAGTAACTATTTCATACATACACACATATAACGTGATGTTCTGTTCCACCCTTCTGCGGTCTGTGCCCCTATCTGGCAACCCCCAGAAAAAAACCCTAAACCCGCCCCGGAATAATGGCGAAAAGATTAGGTAAGAGAAAAATTGATTCAGAATGCAGGGGATTTAAGCTGCAGTGGACAAACGATTATTTTTTTGTTCATCTATCAAGAGACGGTGGCGGTATTCAGAGAATACAATCTGCGGCGACACTATGAATCCCGTCACAAAGACAAGTATGATAGCTTGCAAGGCCAAATGTGAGCAAACAAACTCTCAAAGCTAAAAGATGAACTGTTAGCTCAGCAGAATACATACTGTGAAGAATCCAGAGAGGGTTATTTGATTGTGCTTTCTGGAAAACAATATTTTTTTACATTTAGGCACTCCTGCAATAGTCACACTTTTTCTGTTACAAACTCCCCCCACCAGAGAAGGAAAAAGTTATGTGGCCCTTACAGGAAAAAGTTTGGGGACCCCTGCTCAATAACAACAGCAAAATATGATGTTTGGCAGAGAAGATTTGTCAAACTCTTCATGTTCACAAACCCACATACTCAGCTCTAATGCTCATCCCCCAAATGCGTGTTCCTTACAAATGTGGCACAATTTAAAAGGGAAAATGACAAACTTTTAGGCTTTAGAGGTAGAAAACTGTTTCAGGGTAACAATAATCTTCACTGTTATGTTATAATATGATGAGGATACATTGACCGAAGGGTTGGGCATTATTGGCAAAAAAAATCACAATTTATTATGGAATTTAGCCGATAACAATTAATATGACGATTAATTCCCTGGAGTCCCCGGCTGTCTGCTTATAGTCACATGACCAATTAAAAATCCTTCTAGTGGGAAAATATTTGCTCTCCGTAAAAATCTGTTCCAAACTGTGTCGAAAGTAACAGAATTCAGGCATCAATTTTTAAATTGTGTTGATAGGTCAAGTAAAACTGGACTTGTGATGAATAAATTACAGAACTTTTTTTTAAAATGTCATATTTGAAGCAGAGAGGAGCACTGAGCCTGCCTCGTGGCATTAATCAAATTTATCAAGTGCCAAAACTAAACCGATTAAAGTTTTTCTGACCATTAATTGCACATGATACGATTTTTGCCCAACCCCTGACACAAGTAATTAAAAAAACATCAAGTCAAATCCTTTGTTTTTTATTTAATATTTTTTTACTCAAATTCGTCCTCTTCTTTGTGTCAGTATTTCACCCCTTTCAGTGTCTCATCTTACACAGCAATAACTGCAGAAATCTGATAAAAATATAATAAAACAGCCTTTATATAACCTGTGATTCGGCTTGGTTAATTTCTTTTTGGTTTTCTTTATAAATGTTTAACAATTTGTTTGTAATTACCTTAGAGTTTATCATATTTAAAATTAAAGGTTAAATGATTTTTTATTTTGGTGACATAAAAATGTCAAAATCAACAATACGGTTGTTTATTTCTGCCTCTCAGTTGTCTCTTAAAAGCAAAAACTACAAATTATTTTCTGGCATACGTAAATAGTCTGGCATTAAGTTTAAATTAAAAAGAATATATTATTTTTTTAGCAGCACCTGTTTATCCCCCCCACAAAAAAATCTTAGAACGTACATTTTTAATTCTTAAATTAATTTAAAGTGTTAACTTACTGAACTGCATACCAACTGTAATGTTTGCGCAAATGTATTCAGACAAAACAAACAGAAAACCATAAAAAGTTTTATTTAAGTGTATTTAATTGTGTTTGACATTCATCCTTTTAATTCAACATTTTAAACACTCAAAGGGAAAATTTCATAAAAAGATAAAATCTTTTTTATCAGTTCGTGTGGGATTCGGATATTTTCTTCTTTATTTTAATTGATAATTGTGTTTTGCTGTGGCAGATCAGAGTCGTAGATATGTAAATCAGGTTTTAGGTGATAATAAAGTGCAGGAAATTAAAGAAAACCGATAAAGTTTATTGTGATCTGATGTTTGCAGAGATGACGGATTATGAGGACAAAGTGGATCGTCTGAAGTGTCTGGTGCTCAACATGCCTCCTCCGAACCACGACACGCTCAAGTTCATGTGCCGGCATCTCAGACGGTGAGCGACAGAACCCTGCCGGCTTCAGATTTTCACAAGTAATGAACCTCGAAGTGCAGGGGGAAAAAAGAAAAAGAAGTCCTAACAGTTTTTGTGTAATCGGACCACAAGGGGGGGCACTCCCCTCGCGGTGTCCCTTGTTCTCCTCTGTCAGCGGTTCTCTGGCCGCAGCGCTCCGTGTGCCAGGATCACTGTTGTTAAGTTTGGGTTACTGTGAAGATGAAAAGGCTGGCGGAAGATGAATGGTGTACGATGTTCTGCGAGCCAGTTCCTTTTACAGTACATAAAATGTGTGTTTTTTACCGCCTATGGTTTTTCCTTCCACTCCAGGGGTGAGCGTTCGTGTTCTGAGGCTGATGTTTGTGCCAGGGTGTGGTGGACCCCGTGAATTTGTCAGCGCTCCGTCTTTCTTTCATTTTCTCTTGCGTGTCATTCCTTTCTCCGCTCATTCTGGTTCTCATTTATTATCTCTCTGCGCAATCCCCGCCTCCCCCTCCTCTCCTCTCTCTCTCTCTCTCTTTCTCTCTCTCTCTCTCTCTCCTCTTCCTCACTTCCTCTCTATCCTCTTTTTCATTCTCTCTCCCTTTCATTCATCTCATCTTTTTCTTTCCTTCCTCCTGCTCTCCTCTCCTCTCCTCTCTGCCTCAAAGGTCCCATGGGAGCCTTGTGGTTCGTCTGCTGGAAGGCATACCGACACCACCGCCGCCACCACTGGAACCTCTCTCTTTTCCTCTTTTCCTCATTCACATCTTCTCTCTCTCTCTCTCTCTCTCTCTCTCTCTCTCTCTCTCTCTCTCTCTCTCTCTCTCTCTCTCTCCTCTTTTCCTTTTTTCTCCTGTCTTTCTTTCTTCTTTTTTTTCTCAGTCTCACTCGGATTTATTTCCACCCAGGAAAAAGCTTGGATTATTATGCGCTCTAATTATGAGACGGAGTCGCTCTAATTAAACNGTATTTACAGTCTTTGTGCGTCCAAACTTGTGATTCATCTGCATATGATGTGCTTGTGTGAATCATTCACATCTCTGAGTTAAAATAGTAATGGACATTCACATCTTCTCTCTCTCTCTCTCTCTCTCTCTCTCTCTCTCTCTCTCTCTCTCTCTCTCTCTCTCTCTCTCCTCTTTTCCTTTTTTCCCCCTCTTCTCTTTTTTAATGTGGAAGTTTTGAGCAATTGCTGGCTTCTGTGGCTTGGTGGGAACGGCATTTTTAGAAGAATGCCTCATGCTGTGGCTTTAACCCATTCCTGAGTCGCGGCTCGTAACACACACACACACACACACACACACACACACACACACACACACACACTGGAATACACCGACATAGGAGGATTCAGGTTTAGAACAGTTTAGAGTACACATCTGCTGTGTAGAACCCATCAGTCATCCAGCGTATTTGCCTGCAATCCCCAGAGTCGTGTCAGCTTGCAAACATTTGCTAAGTAGCTCTAAACACAAAGAGTCTGAAGCTGGGACTTTATTTGTTCTGCAGGTTTGGGGTCAAAACAATCAGACCAACAGGTTTGATTTGATGACGATGATGATGATGATGATGAGGCGCACTTCATCAGCTCATCCTGAACGTGTTTGTGAGCAGGAGACTTTATGGCTCAAGAATAGCTGAGACGTTTCACTCACAGCCACGGATGTCAGCTTCACGGTGGCCCGCTTAGGGATCAGTGAAAAAAAAAAAAAAACAGGCAAAAGTCGATCCAACAGTTAGTGAAAGTCTAATTCTGTCAACTTCGAGGAATGATCAGGATTTCTGCATTCATCTCTCGGAAAATGTGGTCGAAGTCAAAATTCTAGACGAGCGATATGTGACTGAAGCAAGAATTTAAAGTCGTCGTGCTTTTTGAACAGGTTGAACAATTGCCAGCCTTTTTTTAAGGGGTGGGGGGTATTATGTACTTTCAAGTGCAGGGGTGCCCAAACTTATTCCCCGAGAGGGCCAAAATGAAAATCTACCCAAGGGCTGCGGGCCAAATGCAATAATGTAATAGAGGAAATGCATATACTTCTTAAGTAAAGTTTTTTTACTTTTTATGATTAAACCAAGAGCCAGTGCAGTGGCCCACATTTTGTTTGTTTGTGTTTTTAATCCGTACACTTGCTCGGGCAGCAAAGACTCATGGGACATTTCATATGTTGATAAAATATGAGCATTTGTAGTCTTATAAAGTTTTCAAATCTACGTGTGTGCTTAAATCTAATGTAAATATCTTCTTTGGTTTCTTGTATTTTATCTTTAATCTTAATAGAATTCAGTGGCAAAGTCAGCTATTTGTGCTACAGTCCCTTATTTAGTCATTGGACCATCAGATGTAATTACATGGAAATACAGAGTTTCTACAGAAGATGACAGGCAATAAAAAACTACTGGTCGGCCAAATCAAATGGCTTGGTGGGCCAATTTTGGCCTGCGGGCCCCACTTTGGGCACCTCTGTTTCTAGGCAATGCTTGTTCAATTCTATAACACAATCAAGTAACTTTGTTACCTTCAATTGTTATGAAAATGCTGTATATATCAAAAATACATTTGACTTTGCATCATAACCTATTTGTGACTTGAAATTGGCCTCTGTCTCTTTAAGAACCTCCTAAAGTTTGCAAAACTCCCACTGGGGGGGGGGGAACAAATTTAAATTTGAGGGGGACAAAAGAATTACCTAAAAATCAAATATGCATCTTTAATTCGAAGGGGGACATTAAAAAATTTTACAAGGAACAAGTTTTCTCAGGTTTAAAGGCACCACCTCTTCTATTTTTAAAATAGTTTTGTTTAATTGCTGCTGGGGACTGAGCTCCAGGGAGGGGTTTTGTGTAAATGGGTGGTGCTTTGTATCAGCGAGCGTTTAAAGCTGCACGTGGCTATGAGAGGTTCGAGAATTTCTCACACATGCATGAATGAGTCAAAGCAACACTCCAGATATGTTTTTGATGACATAACAATATAAATAAAAAAGTCAGTTTTGCACAACACCCCCCCCTTTAAAAAACTGACCAATATCTGCCAATTATTTGGTCTTTTTCCAGTTCGAACCAAGAGCCAGTTCAGAATGACCGGAAAAAGCAACTTATAGTGATTTCATAGTTCAAAAAAATTTTGAGGTAGCATTAACCTTGTATCTTCTGCGCTTTACTTTCTCTGCAGGGTGTTAGAATGTTCAGACGTCAACAGGATGACCACCCAGAACATCGGCATAGTGTTCGGGCCGACGCTGATGCGCCCGGAGCGGGACAACGGCAACATGGCGGTGAACATGATTTACCAGAACCAGGCGGTGGAGCTCATCCTCAGCGAGTTCGACCACATCTTCGGAACGAGAGGCCCCTCCTGATCTCGTCAGACCGCGGAGGTCGCGACGCTGGCGGCCCGGCCCGCTCCTCCGAATCAGACTCTGAGCATGAAGCAGTGCAGCGAGAGCTCTGTAGGCTCATATGGTGTAAAATGGATTTCACATCAAAAGATAATTATGGTGGTAAAAAAGAACCAGGAAAAGAAAGCTGCTAATCATGACATCTGGCCTCCATAAAAAGCCATGTTAAAACAATAATAGTAAAACAAGCCAATTTTAGCTGCGATGCTGGAGCCTTTGAGGGCAGATGTGGAGCTCAGTCCCGGTGAGGCTCGCTGCTGGAACAGACGCCTCCTTGTCACTTCTCCTTGATGTTTCAGACTTGATCAGGGCAAAGAAAAAAAAAAGAGAAATATCTTCCAGCCTGCCTAGTGTATTCTTCAGCGATCCACCAGGCAACAGGAGTGGTGTGTGTTTTAATGTAGCGCCGAGACAAAACTTAACAGAACCATCTCACTGTGAAAACCCAATATCAGGACGAACGGACTGAGTGAAAACAGCAAACAGGAAGACAAATAATCCACTTATGCAAGACTTCATACGCTTCCACTGAGAATTGAGAATTGAGAGTATTCTCCAAAAAAAAGTGATGGCAGCAAATGTATCTTTTTAGTGACCCGTTAGCACCCTCAGAGCCTTTCACATCTATTTTATTAGTCAAAACTCACTGTAATAATTTAAAACTATGAAGTTGTAAATATTAGAAATGTTGTTTTTGAATCACTTTATACACAATGGGCAACCTAAATATTCTACATAGGCAAATTCAAACCCGAACTTTTGCTTTGAGACGACGAGGATGTTCCTGTCAACTCTCCTCCAATAAAAGACGTGTGTGAGCAGACTGACACGATGTGTTTTGTTACTCAGGGTGTCAGGTTGTTTGTTGCAAGCGGCGGGTTGCGTGACAGATACTGGAGGCGGGTGGAGGGACGTGGGCCTCGGCGACTCGGCGGGCGGAGTCGCAGTGATTGGTGCGAATGCTGCTTTTAATAACAGAACAAAAGAGGAACTGGAAATGCATATGTTTTAAAAATGTGGATTTTCCCCCCTTGAAACCCTCTCACTCTGTGGCTTGGGGTAATTTTATATTGACTGTGGGTTTGGCAAAAGACAAGAAAGAGCTGAAAGGAGGCACTGCTGGGGGGGCGGAGTGACTTTAGGGGGAGATTTTATTAAATACGTTCCTTCATTTTGGTGTTTGTTGCATTTCAAGGCATTGGAGCTGATTGGACGTTGTGTGCAGCTGACTGATGAGGAGTCCTCTTAACCTGATCTCATTTTCGCTCCCCATGGTGTCTTTAAATTCGAATAACTCAATTTTTTTAGCTTGAGCATACCACACTTGTTTATTTAATCCAAATGCACAACTTGTATTAAAGTTTAAAGTCAGCAGATTTAGGGTTTTTTTTTTGTCATGAACCTCTTAAAATCATTAAATGTCTGCATTCAGCCTTAAAGGACCAACGCATCAAATATTTCATGGACTTTTTGTCCTGTATGTTTTGTTTTTGCTGCAGATTGTTCGGTTTTAGGGATTTTTTAGTCTATAAAAGTGTCAATAAAATCCCCCAGTGGTATTAAATGTCTGCAGATTGAGCTCAATGATGCGTTCAGTTTTATAGTAACAATCATCAGTGGAATAATCATCTGCTTAAATCTGAATCAGACACAATCAAACACTCCTTCCTAATTGGCTCTTTTTGGGCAGTTAGGGTCAAAATCTCTGACATCATTCTTTTTATTCTGTTTCTTCCTGCCTTTTCTGGTGGCACCGCTATAAATTTAAACATCTAAACTCTTGCAAAAATCTTGTTTCTGGATCAATAAACGTGAACCAAACAATGAGCAGCGCTGCTAACTTTGGGATAAAGATTTCCTTCCAAAACACATTTTTGACACTTGGACTGATGTAACAAGATTACATTACATCCCAAACCATTTTGCATCTGTGTATGGTTATTTTGTTTGCTGCTCTGTTGAAGCAAAAATGTTTTTTGGTCTGTGTCATATTTTAAAAAGTTGTGGAAAGGAGTAAATCAGAAGACTGTGAAAGGTTTACATCTGTTATATGTTTTTTTTTTCAGCCAAACAGTTCTCAAAATGAACACAATTTTCACTAAACTGAAGTGAAACCTCTGAGAAAGACTGCTTACAGGTTTGACAGTTTGTTTGTTTTTTTCAGAGTAAAGTGCAGAGATAAAGTGACTGCAGTATTCCTGTTTTGGTTAGAGTTGGTTGTTTTTATCTAATTACATCTGCATATTTTGTGCTGTTTTAGCTAATTTAAAATCAGAATGTTTAGGTCAGATGGGGTATAACTTTTGGCTTTATATCTTTTTCAAAATATGTACCCTTATTTTCAACATATCTTGCCATAAAAATTATAAGGATCTTTCAATTCCTTTAAAATTTTGCTCACTTTGAATCTGTTCCAGCAAACACTTTATTTGTCTTCTTAGGCTACTTTTAACTTTTAGCTACTGTTTTAGCTTCTAGCTAACCTTTTGCTACATTCAACTAGACTTTTGTTACATTTAGCTGGCCTTTTGTTAGGTTTAGCTAGCTTTTTGCTACATTTAGCTAGCATTCTGAATGAGTTAAAATAAGTTTCTTTCAAACTCACTGATCTATACGTGCAGGTTTCAGCTTTTTCTGAGAATTGAAACTTAAGGGGGCACAACACCCATTCAGAAATGTTTCAGAATGCTTTACAGAAAAATTAGGACAAAACTGAGCGCCAATAGTTAAACGCTGCACCAAAAACCCATCCTGACCGTAAGTCACCTTTCATGTTATGGTTAGCTGATTGTTTATTCAGCCCACTAAAATTAGAGTCTTAAATTTCAGAGTTGTAGCCCCACACACACAGGTTCACAAGAGCGAAGCGAGCACCTCTGATGAATCATCATGCAAATACAGCGAGCCACAAAAAAACACACAGAGTGTAACAAAGCAAGCTGGAGATCTAGACTGTTGGTGGGAACTGTTTACTGTGATGGGAAACTGACTGGCTCAAGCAAAGCATACCGCTTTTTTCAGATCTTTAAACCCAAATTTAACATCAAAACTACTTTTAGCATTGTTTCAAATCTTATTTTGTTTGTTTTGTTTTGTTTTTTTTTCCGTAAAAATTGGACAAAAAAGGCACATTTTTTACTTTTTAATTAGAAAAATAAATGAAATACAAGATTCTGGTAGCAACTTATATACATTTTTATTACAAACATAAGAAACTTTGTATAAAATACAAATATAAAAAAAGTTCCAAAATCCTGGTGCAATTTAAAAAAAGGGAAATGAATGTAAAGAAAAGTGTTCAGAAATTGAGTGAAATAAATTCGCCTGTTATTTTGCCTGAAGATAACAGGTGAGGAACTATGCAAGGTTAGCATAGAGGTTGGCGTGTCACATATGCGTATCTTTGGTCGTAAACACTCACACACACACATACACACATATAACTCCAGAGCTTGTTTGCCATGCAGCAATGCATGAAGGCCGCAAGCTTAGTCACACCTCATGCACCACCGTCTTACAGTGTCTCGTTGTACCGAGGCCTTTTCGGATTTCTCACAGCATCTGAGCACATCTGAGGCACCGTTTGCTACACTGCAGCCAGAAAGAGGAAGTTTCAAACTGAAGAATGTGTCCTGAGTCTTGACCCTCTTGCCACACCTCAGCAGACAAGCCCAAATGAATGACACGTTATAAATACTACTTTTCTGGGGGTGTAGGAAAAGGGACGCCGCACATGTAAATTATTACAAGAAATGGCAGACATTTTAGCACTTTGTGAATTCAAGCAGCTCCGTTTGCAGTGAGAGGGTGCAAATTGTATCTGCGAGCTGAAAAGGGGGGAAAAATCCCCCAGACACCATCGTTTGCCCCTGCTAACATTTCATGCAAAGCTGCAGAAATGACTGTACTCTGAAGGAAGCCTCCACTTTAAATGGTGCAATCCACTTCTTTTTGTATGAAGGCCAAACAAATAACACCTTCCTCTGTTTTTTTACTGCTCAGGGGTAAAATTAAACAGATGACCTTGGCTCTACTTTCTGATTTCACAGCATAAATGACAGAGGAAAGTTCACTTCTGTCCCATATATTCAAATACTCACAAGTTTTGGTAAAAGGCAAGTGCTGTGTGTGCATATTGGCTGAAAACCTTTGACTTTTTGCCTGTACATTTTTAAAATACTGCTTTCAAAAACATCAGAAAAAAAGATGAATACTAAATGTTCTGTGCACCTATTAAGAACAATATATAAAATAACACTGTTTCTGTTATTATGGCTGTATTTCAAAGCTTCTGAGGACTTTGAATAACACAATATGGCTTCAATTCTGTAAACATTTCCATCAGGGCCTTTTTTTATCTTCACCAAATCACTGAATTGAATCTAAAATACAAAAACAAGTTCACTGATTCCTCATCAGTAATGAAATAATTCTGATTTTGTTTTTCTACAGTGGGGTTTTGTTGAAAAGTTTTGAACAATCAGTATCTTACATGTTCCAGGTACAGTAGCTCTTTAAACAACCACACTTTGAAGAAATGAAGAATAATTCTGACCAGATTGACAAATCCTTTGAAAGTGGAGTTTACTTGAATTTCTATAGGCATTAACATGTCATTTTGGTCAGAAAATTCAACAAGGTTTCTCCAAATTGAGCTTGTAAAAAAGCGATCTGAAACAAGTAAGATATTGATTGATCTAGGGATGCACCGATATGAAAATTTCAGCCGATATCAATATCCGTTATAATTATTGCTGTTATGGCCGATAACTGATATCTACCAATATTACACAAACACACAAATTATATTTTACATATACGCACAAACACACTTGTGTCTTTTTTTTTTTTTGTTACAGTAAATAAATAACCAGACCTCTGACATGACTCTCTACTTCAGTTATTCCTGGCTGCGCAGCATCAATATCACTATTATGATCAAACAGATGCTGCTCAACCATCTCCCCTCCCAAAACTGAAACACAAAGCTAAAAAGTGGGAAATTAATATCGGACGTTAATATCGGCTCAGTTTTACATATCGGACTGATACCGATATCAGTACCAATATATCGTGCATCTCTAGATTGATCCCAACTCACTCTATAAGATATATATATCTACTGTATATATAGATATAGATATAGATATAGATATAGATATATATCCAAACTGTCACTTTAAAGTACAACAGAACTTTTGTTTTGTGCAACAGGAAGCAGCAACAAGCAATTAAGATTTCTGGTTTGTCGCATAAAGACACAGATTAGTTAACCCCCGAACTATTATTGTTCTAACAACAAACAGTAACACACACACACAAACACACACACACACACATACAGACACACACTCTAATACTAGTCTGTTCTACATGATAAAATACTGTATTTTAGATGGCTTTGTCCACTTTATGGCCACATATTCTTTGGCATTTCTCTGTTTTAAAAACACTCAGCTGATTTATTCCATCTGCATGACTTCTTAAAGTTGGCTTAAGTTTTGACTCTTTGTAACCCTGTTATATCCAGGTTCAGTTCACATTTGTTCAAGTCTTCGTTCTGTTCCTCAGCGTCTCTGTCCCAGATGTGGCTCTCCATCTTAATATGGCTTCCTACTTCACAATTGTTTTCATTTTGTTCTTCTCCCGTGGGGGATTCCTGGATGAAACTACCTCTCAGCTCGTTTGCCTCTTCCAAAAAACCCCTGCGCATTTCACCATCTCGTTCCTCCTCCTCCTCACCTTCTTTGAGAGCATCCAACGCTCCATCCAGGCTGGAGTCACTGAGGAAGGAGTGGGCGGTCTGAGTGTCATCCGCCGACAGAGGCTTGTCTTCAGTGAGGCTGCCCGCCAACGGGGTGAGAGACATCTCTTCCTGGTCTTGGTCAAGATCCTGGTCTTTGCTGCAGTACGCGTAGCGGTGGTTCATGTGCTGGGAGTAAGAGCCAGAGTGGGAGAAGCGTTTGCCACACTTGTCACATTGGTAGGGTTTCTCTCCAGAGTGCAGTCGGCTGTGTTCGATCAGGTGGTGCTTGTGCTTAAAAGCCTTGTTGCAGGTCTTGCACTCATGAGGACGTTTGCCTGAAATGAAACAGAAGATTAGATAAGATTTTATAAAAAATTGTATATATGATCATTTCAAAAAATCTTTTGATAAATAGCTTGTACCAATTGTTTAACATGAAACAATGAACATTATAGCTCTGTATGTATAAAAGTATAAATTGGATGGTGCCAATTAATAGGTTGTAATTTACATGTCAAAACGCAACATGTCAGAACAACAACTTGTGGTGTAATATTTGGGTTATTAACTTGACTGTGCAAGATGCCACATAAAACTAAAAGTGGGTTGTTTTCAGATTTCATTTTTAAATAAAGAATACTGGACTCAGTCATTTTTACATTAGAGCTGAATGTATTTAACTTGAACTAAAATTGGGTAGACAATCTTTCGCTTCTTTAAGCTAACATGTTGCTTGTTGTAGGTCCAAATTTCAGGTTTTTTATTATTTTCCAAAAAATCAACCATAATATAATATAATAT